GAATGGTCTGACACCTCTAATTGTGGAGAAAGGGCCTTTTCTGATACCCTGGTTCAGTTCATCTACTTTTTTGTTCTGGATAACGTCTGTGAACACCCGCCACACAAAATGAGATGTAGTTTGCATGAAAGGATAAAAGAGACGGGAAAGCATTTGAAGGCATGCAGTTGTGCAGAGAAAGCTGAGAATGAATATATGGATATACTAGTATTTACATGCCCACACTCTGTCTACCTACCTATCTGTAGCTAAAAAAGGGTATGAATTTTGTTGTTTGTGTGTGTGTGTGTATGTATGTGTGGTGATGAATGGTGGAAAGATTATATCACATAAGAAAACTGACCAATAGTTGAAGCATTAAATTATTGGAACTTGGTAAACAGATGACCAATTAAGGTTTTTCCCAACTACCTACCATCTGTTTCTTTAAAGAAAGTTACTCATTTTGTCTTTGGGCTTCTGTACTGTTGCCACATAATTGGCCTCTTTTAGAAACAGTTGCAACTTTTAATATTTGAAATATTAACTTGCATCGTTTTACATAGCTGAGAAGAGAACACTTTTGATTGATGAGCTGAATAAACTGAAGAGTGAAGGACCTCAGAGGAAGAACAAGGCTGGTCTCCTCTCCCAACGTGAATTTGTCCCGTCCAAAGGGTCAGTCACTTTGTCAGAAATCCGTTTGCCTCTCAAGGCAGATTTTGTCTGCAGCACAGTTCAGAAACCAGGTATGGAGGTTTTTATTTGCCTGCGTTCTAGATCTTATTTGTGATTATGAACCTCATCTGGCTTGGAATTGTGCAAATGGGAACAATTGGAGAGCATACACAAAGCTACAAAGCTTGTGTCTTGGGTCTTAAAATCCTTTTGTGAAGATGTGTGTAAAAATAACCAAGGACAGTTCATATGGGAGCTCACTGTTCCACACAGTAACAGACAAAGCTCTAAATGAAAGTGAAGTTAGTTAAAGATAATTTTGAACATACATCATTTTCCTGAGATGAGTTATCCTGACATAGCAATCAGTTTCATTAATTTTATTGTGGCAAGTATTTAGGGCATCTAAAATGGCTCATTTTACTTACTTTATTCTATGTGAAATTCATCTCATTATAGAAAGTTGTTCTATAAATTCTGAATTTATAGCATTTGGGGGAGTTAAGAGCCCCATAGTGGTCATACTTGTATTGAACTTTTATTCCCTCTGCCCCTCTAGATTGAATAAGTAAACTTCCCTTTAAATTTTTGTGTGAGACATTCTCTTTGAGAGAATGGAGACCTAGACTAGGTGAGAAGCAAATTTGAAGTGTGGGGAAAGTAAAGAGTGGGGACCTTTCAAGGTTTGAGTATTTTGGTAGGAAAGAGGTGACCTAAGTTCTAATTCTTGCTGTTGTCTTGTTTTGGTGGGTTGTGGGCAGAAATCTGTTGGTCATTTAATGTGTACCTTGAAATCTGTGGTTATTTAATGACAGATAGTGAAGAAATAGTTCATGTTTCATTAGAATTTATCTCTGAGGAAGTTTCACAAGTATAGTATTTTGATCTCAGTTTTGAAATATAGTAGTACATGCTCAGATGCATACTCGGATATATACCATTGAGTTGTATACTATTAGCTCAAGAATAGGGGTCACTAGGTAAAATGCGAAGCCAGCAGAATTTGAGGGGTGTGAAGTTATTGTAACTCCCATAGTGTGAGAGCCCGTGATGAGGCTTATTCTAGCATTATGATCATCTGCTTATGTCTTACTTACCTTTGTGTCTGGAAAGTTGATTTTAGAAAATTTTTAATGAATTTTATATAAGTCAGTGCAGTATTCCTTTATTCCTCTGGTCTTCCAGAATGCTCGTTATCTAAATCCAATTCTGCTTGATCTGATTCTGTAATGTGATTCCTTCCTGCAGATGCAGCAACTTACTCCTTCCTGATCATACTGAAGGCAGGAGCCGAGAACATGGTGGCCACCCCGCTGGCAAACACTACCACTTCCCTGAACGGCGATGCCCTGACGTTCTCCACCACGTACACTCTGTGAGTACATCAGGCGGTTGGCAGCTCACCTTTCCCTTCAGTAGTTAATACAGCCTAAGCACACAGGTGGGCTTATAACCTGTGAAATGCAGAATGGTCATTCTTTTTATGTGGACACACAACTCAGTTTCCAATTTGTTGGTTTAACTCTTCTGTTTCTGACATTTCTTTCCATTGAGTAGCATGTTGCTTCCACGTGACTATCGGAATTTAATGTTTTGAGTATTTTAAAATGTGTATCTGTGTAGATATGCATATGCATATAAAAATAATGATCATAATTTTTTATGTATGTTTTAAATCTCATTACATACTTAATATTCAAATCTCAGCAAAAGAACATATTTAGTGTCACAGACTTATTTTGAAACAAGTCAAATTTAAGTTTGAAAAAAATTACCATTATTGAAGATCTTGAGTTGTAAATTACTGAAGAAAATATTTGAAAAAATTGTTCTTACTAATTATATATTCGTAAGCGGTTGAGAGCTATATTGTCTTTAGTTGAAACACAGTGAATTCTTTTGCTCTGAGTCTTTTAACAGTATGGTGACGTCATCCTGGGCTATCACTTGGTATTTTTGTTACAGTTTTAATGCTTTGTTTTCAGGGAAGATGTGTCCAATGACTTTGAAATCAGTATTGAAGTTTACAGCTTGGTAAGCAGTTAAAGCTCTCTAAAATAACTACTAGTATGTTGTCTTAAAGATAACAGATTTAAACTAGTTATGCTTTGGATTTGTGTATTAGGTGCAAAAGAAAGACCCCTCAGTGCCAGATAAGAAGAAAAAGGCATACAAATCCAAGGTGAGGATGAAAGAAACCCAGCAAATTATAATAACCATTTTGTATCAGAAACCACAGATACTATACCAGTTTCCATATGTATAATTTTTAATGATTATCAAGTTTTTGGACAATTTTTATGCCCCAGATTTCAGGTACTGCATTTCATAGGTATGAACACTGACATAAATTTATAATCCTAAGTATAGCTCCTCATGCACTCGGCTTGATGGTTCTGTTCTCTCTGGTATTTGACAGTTTACTTGTATTACCCCTTTGTCTTCCCCAGCCTTCCCTGGAGTCTGGTCTCTACGTCCTCTGCACCAGGGCTTAGGAGAGGTGTGGGGGCAGGACTCCAGCTGGCTTCTCATTCCTCCTGCTCTTTGCTCTTCTGTTCTTTTTCAAGCCATCATTTAAAAGAATTTTATTTAGCTTTAACAGAGAAAGAGTGATAGTATGGGTAATACCTTAATAAAAGACTCAAGCATATTCATATTTAAGAATTATTTTCTATGTGGGAGTGTCTTAGGATTGGTTATTTTTAAACTCTAAATCATAATGTTTAATAGAAAATATTCTGATATGCTTTCTTTTAGGCTATCACTCCAAAGCGACTTCTCACATCTATAACTTCAGTAAGTGGAATTTTTAAAAAATTGAGCCTCCTTGTGAAATCTTCATGTTACACATATGATTGTAAATATTTCTAAATCCTTACCACTTTGGAAATCTTTAAAATATATTACTGGGGGGAAAATCTCATATTTATGTAGAAAAAAATGTGTTCTGAAAGTTCTTGCAGTGTTAAAGAGTTTTGTATTTAATATTCAAATCTTTTATCCGATAAAGAAAATAACTTGTTTCTTCTTCACACCCTGTTTTAGAAAAGCAGCCTTCATTCTTCAGGTGAGTGGATCTTGAACTGTTTGAAACACTAGAGTAAGGAAGAGAGCCAAGCAATTGCAGTCGCATGTGCAGCCATCTCGGTTTATGGGTGTTTACACAGTCTCCTTGGAAAGGCATGCTCTATGTGGTTTAGTACCACGTGAGATTACTGTCCGGTCTCCGTTGTCAGATGCCACACATCTCTCAGGCCCTGGCAGCAGTGTCCATGAGGCCGGTCACGTGACCCTGGCAGCAGCAGCAATGCCTGTCCCCCGGCCCATCTTCCTTGCAGATTTGCTATGGCTGTCAGCACTGTGGAGTTGACCTCTGTTAGCTTTGCTGACCATGACTGGCATTGAATCTTGTCAGAAAAGCATCTTCCTAGCACAGTGGGACCTGGGGTACCTGTAAGCCAGGAAGGACCTTCTAGAACGGCTTTAGGCAGGGATTAGGGTTGAGCTGGTTTCACTCACCTCCTTTGGGCTTTTGGTCTCTTCTTGGTACAGAGTAACTAAGAAGCACCGTGCAGCATCGTCTGTGCTGCTAAGTATGCCACCTAGACTATGGCAATGGAGTCTTCTCTCTCATTCCCATGCATTTTATGTGCACATTTTGAGGCTCTGTATCTTTAAAAACCTATTGGTCCCAAATATTCAGACGTGCCTAAACTCTACTATAGTTAAATATAAAATATGTAACAGTTTGCTGTCACTAGACAGTTTGATATTTTCCCTTCCTGTTTGGAGATGGAGAAAATGCAGTTTCTCTGTGGCAGGTTAATGTCATTCTGTCGGGGTGAGGTGAGGAGTGATTTACACTTAGGGAGGTCACTCCGAACTAAGCCCCAGCCCCTTTCTCTCCAGTGATGGCCAGCCCGGGCGGTCTCCATGCTGTGCGCACCAGCAACTTTATCCTTGTTGGATCTTACACGCTGTCCTTGTCTTCAGTAGGAAACACTAAGTTTGCTCTGGACAAGGTAACCCGAATTTATTTATTTGTTTTTAGAAAAATTAGGTCAGTGGAAATGCCCCAGGACTTTCAACTATTAAAATCTTTGACTGAAAATGTATGTTGTTAGAATTGTACATTTTAATGAGGCATTCTTGTACCTACATGATATATTTTTTGATGTTGGAAATATTTTTCCCTTGTATCTTAACAGTTAAATCCTGACAGTACTTCATGCTGATTTATTCTAAATGTCAGCTCTGATTAAAGAAGTATTACTTTTTTAAAAATTTATTTTTCAGTTACAGTTGATGTACAATATTATGTTAGTTTCAGGTGTACAACATAGCAATTAGATATTTATATACCTAATGAAATGATCCCTGATAAGTCCAGTACCCATCTGAAGCCGAACATAGTTATTACAATATTCCCTGTGCTGTACTTTTCATCCCTGTGATTATTTTTATTTTATT